AATGCTAAGGTAACTGCTGATTATCCCTAGTACTTAAGGTGTGATGACAGATAAGCCTAATAGGATTTGGATTTAAGTAGCTGTGATTATTTTTCCCCTTCTTCTTCCAGCTTTGTGAAGTGGAAATTGTACAGCACCAATAGAAAAGGATACTTTCAGACTTCAGGCATGCCTAGATGAGCCAGTGCACTTGCCACACAAAGCCTCCAAGAGCAAATCATAGCGTGGAACTCGGGCTGGATCAGGCACCATGGTATGCTGCCCGAAAATCTAAATAGAAATGCTGCTCACTTTGCTGTAATAGGAATTTTGTAACAGTTCTTAAAATGGTATTTTAAATCAATATATTAGGAGACACAATAGCCATTGGGCCTAGAACTGCTGGCCCCTTAGAATAACTATCTGATTTTTGACAAAAAGCTGAAAAATTCCATGTGTTCAATTACTAATATCCAGCATTTTTTGCTAAATGATTGGCATTTTATCATGTGTGTGTGTACTATGTATGTGTGAGCCTATACACGTATATGCTGTTTGTGTTCAGTGAATTGTTATTCTCAAGTGCTTACTATATTACTGGGGACATCAGTAATTACTGCATTACTAGGGACCCAGGATACATGCTGAAAAAGAGAGATACAACTGCTGCCCCCAAGAAAATACAGTCTAGTGGAGCAGCATTTCTCACACCTTTAGTGTGTGTACAAATAAATCACTTGGGGATCTCGTTAGAATGCAAATTCTAATCAGTTTGTCTGTGATAATGCTGGTGTTCTGCATTTCTAAAATACTCCCTTTAATGCCAGTGTTCTGGCATTTGAATAGCCAGGTATTGGAAGACACACACTTCAACTAAATCACACAAGTAACTATGTGCTTACATCTGTGACAAGTGCTATGAAGAAAAAAGTACAAGAATCTATAAGACCAAAAAAAGCAGGGGGCCTATTCTATGGCTCAGGGCAAAGAGGGATTACCTAAGCCAAAAGCCAAAGGATAGCAGGGAATACGGCAGGCTGAGTTACTGAAACTGGCTGTAGTGAAGGTCACACACACTCCTGGTGTCTTTCTGCCTGAAGGTGTTCTCCAGACGTGAGTGTGCTTGACCTGTGCTCAGGAATTGCCAGAAGTGCCCAAGCCAAGTACCTGGAGCTACTTGCTTGAAGGACAGGGGTTTGTGAATAAATACCTCAGCTTCATCTCCTTTAGGTGCTACTCACTTAGTCAGGTTTTGCAGTCTCTCAGAGGGCTCCCTGCAGGACTGGGCCACACTGGCCCATGCCCATCACTCTGACATTAGCTTTGACTTGGAGTGTGTCACACCCCTACACCTTGCCAATGATTCTGATCTCACCTCTAAATAAATGACTTGCTCCAAAATCCTTGTCTCAGGATTTTCTTTCAAGGGAGCCCAAATTAAGAAACCAGTAAACAGTGATGAAATGTACATATACATGCACATATGTATGTATATAACACACACACGCAACGAGTTTGAGGTTGAAAGCTAAAGGGAATAAAGAACACAGAAATCTAAAGTGAGCACTGAGGCCCCTTTTGCTCTTGAAAATTTGCTGCCAATCCTGATGATCTGGAACTTCTGTGGTTGATGATATCATGGGGATTGAGGAACAAGTATCTAACCTCAACCTCCGGCCCCCCATCCCGCCCCAAGGGGACCCTCCTACCAATCAGATGTGCTGTATATTCAATGTCAGAGTAAATCAGAAGTAAACCCACCTCTCCTAATCCCAGAGAACAACAGGAGAATTTGATTTGGGGTTGAGCAGAGCAGGGAGGAAATATTCCAAAGAAGTTATGATCACAAACTGGCCCTCTTCTATTTCCTGACTTGGATGGTGGCTTCCTGGATGTTTAGAAAACTGTGTCAATGTTTTGGCATTTTTCTACATGTATTTTTTATGTCACAATTTTAAAAAACTGTAACTGAAAACTCCAGCAGACAAGAGAAGAATAATTAGAATAATTTAGGCAAAGGGAAATCATGTAAGAATTCTGTAATGTTTTGGAGAAACAAAGAACAGGCCAGTGTTTCTGGAGCATACTGAACAAAGGGGAGAGTGGTGGAAGATTAATTCATACATTCATTTACTCATTTGTGGCAGCTATTACCTTTTTATGGAACATACACTGAGTGGGAGACAGGCAAAAAAAAAACAACAAATAAATGAACAAGATAATTTCAGAAATTAACAAGTGCTCTACAGAAAACAAAGTAGGTTGATGTCATAGAAAGAGACTGGAAGTAGAGCGTTGTTTGGTGAGATTAATGGGGAGTGGGTTGCCTTAAAGATCTCACTGAGATGCTGACAGTGGAGCTGAAACCAGAGGGACAAGCAGGAGAAGCTAGAAAGGGCATAGGAGCCAGCACCTTGTTGGTCTCAGTAAAGATTTTGGGCTTTATTTTAGGAGCAATGGAAAGTCATTAAAGGGATTTACACAGAATGGAGAGATAACCAGACTGAAGTTCTTAAGGGTCATCCTGATGACTGTGAAGAATGGATTCCATGGGGTCCAGAGTGATGCCGACAGACCAGTGAGAAGAGAGACGATAGGAGCTGACCAGGATGATCCAAGCGGACACATAAAACCAGCTATTCAAATTACACTATAGACATAGAACTGACTTTTTCTTACATATTGATCACTGATCATTTTGCAAAGGTCCAATACACTTCTAAAAGGCTATGAATCTTCACAATTCTCCATCTTTAGTGCAGGAAGCCACTAATCACTGGGGCCCCTCAAGGAAGCTACTAATCACTGGTTCCTATCTTTTTGGCTACAGTAATTGGGCAAATGACTGAAGCTGTATCAACCAGAATCCTTTCTTGGGATTTTCCTAATGGCACTAGAGAAGAAGACTTCTTCTTCAGTAGCATGTTGTAAAAGTGTGACATGAGAACTGCCAGTGGTCATGTTCAAGGTTATTTGGAGAAAGGCAGAGTGAGCAGGAGAGGAGGATGCAGCCATGAAGACAGAAGGAAAAGGAGAGAGACTAGGACAGATCCTGGAGTGACAGACGCTCCGGACTGCTGTGGATTTGGCAACACTCCACTTAACTGTTGGAATCACTCTGTGACTTCCCCCAGTTACACGAATGGAATTTAACTAGCTTTAGTTGAATTTCTGTCAATTGCATGAAAAAAATCTGACCTGTGTAAGAAGTAAGGGAGCTGGATATGGGCATATTGGGGGATAGATGTGCCGTTTACTTAAAAATGAAGAAGGCAAGATGAGAAGCTGACTCAGAAGTGAAGAACCAAAGTTCTGTTTAGGAAATGAGAATTTGAAATACCTGAGATTTCAAAGTGTAAATATCACATAGGCGGTGGATATATGAATCCAGAGCTCCATCAAGAAGAACATAGCATGGATGGAAGTTCGGGCATCACTGGCATAGAGTTGATAGCCAAAAGTGTAAGATGGTATGAGATGAGATCACATGAGGGAGAGACTACCCAGTGGAAAGAGAAGAGGACCCAGGAGTGGGTCCTGAAGAACTCCAAGATCTATGGACCTAATACCAAAGACCAGATAGATGCCACACTTTATCAGAGGAGAAGGTCTGCAGCCTGCCCACCACTCCCCTCGTCCAGACAGCTGTAGTTTGTTTGATGGCTGGATGACAGTTTCACCTTGTCATGGGTCAGAAAAAGTTGGGGGAGCTGGGTGAGGGGTGTGTGCGTGTATGTGTGTCACTGTGTGGCTTTAAATATATGAGACTGATTTTCAAATGTGGCTCATAAACTGTCTCTGTAGGAAATTCTGAAAAAAATATCTGAGTAGTAGGATAAACATTTATACTTTAGAACTTGTTAAGCATTTGGATTAACATAAGCCTCTCATGTGCATGAGTCATTCCTATATTACTTCTTGATTATAAACTTGGCAATGGAGAAATGTAGTAAATCTGTAATGGCCACCAGAGAATAATTTTTATATTACCTCCAGAGCACATGGAATATGGTCAACACTGCTTCTGTTTAGAGAGCAGTTTGAATGAAAGGGCTGAAAGTTGAATGTTTTTTAAACTTTCTTATTTTTGTTCTTAGTCATGTTGTTCATTAAACCAGGAGAGTATCTATCGCTGTGACATATATTTCTGAAACGACTGACTATATATAAATATATGCACATGCCTTAAATTAAATACAATGCCACCTAAAAGAAGTCATTTTTCAGATGTATATGAATTTCTTAGGTTATGAGCCTATATGATTTGTTAGGTTAAGAGTCAAAACATATATCCTGATTAGGATATGTAGATAATGACTATCAGAAGTATGTTTTCAGCAAGTCAAGTTACCAGATTTTATCATTCTTTAGGCACTTCATGGACACTTGAGACATAAAATTTTAAATTTTCTCAACTGACAATAGAAAAGTATTGATCACTGATCATTTTGCAAAGGTCCAATATAGTTTAAAAGGCTATGAATCTTCACAATTCTCCATCTCTAGTTTAGATTAGTTTCTGAATGTCATGTTCTCCTAATGGAATGTTATGTCCTTTCAGTGTCCTCTGAATTATTTTTATAAATCATCAGTGAACTTGGAAATATGCTAAGACCGAGATCTTGTTTTCTTTCAATAATAACAGAATTTATTCAGTGAGGATCAACAACTTCATAAAATTATGAAATTATTTGGGATATGGTTAGTGAAATTTTATCTTTCTCCATCTTTGTTTCTGATATTTTTAATCAATAATCAAATGGAAAATCTTAAACTTACCTTCCTTATATTTTCTCTCTATTTTTTTTGGATCGCCCTGTTTAAGTGAAACCAATAAATATACATGATTCTTACCAACAATACACAGATTGTCTAAAAAAGTCTAGAAGCATAAGGAAAGTATTTTAGTTATTATGTTCTTTCAGATTAATAGTTGGCTTAAATATAGAAATGTGATACCAGCAAAAGAATGTGAGCATCCAAGAAAAATATATTGACAATATCTTTTGAAAATACAACATTTTATTTTTATTTTACACTTTGGAATTCAACTGCTCTGAATCAGATTAATTACAATTTTTGGTCATGTCATTGTTTCATCATTTGTCCACATATAGGCCACTTTTATTGATTTTGTCAATTACTTAATTATTTATTTTTAATAATAGAAGCCACCCACAAAGCCACTATCCTAAACAAAAATGGGGGCTCTAATTATAAACAGGCCACATCAAATCTTCTGTTTCCCTCACCAGTCCATCCCTCTCCTCCCTTCCACCCAAAAGATTCATCATCCAGAATCTTATGTTCATTGTTTCTTTCATCTCATTGTATTGTAACTACTTTTTTTCCTAAAAAGTATACAAATACATATTTAGTAGTTTTTTTTACAAAAAGAATGTCAGATTCTATATAATCTTTTAGAAATTTTGTCACTTAACATTGTATGATAAAAGTAATTTATATTGTTACTTACAGCTATATTTCATTCATTTTGGTTGCTATATAATATTCAATTAGTAAATGTACCACAGTTCATTTATATGCCATCTGTTGCTAGACATTTGGATTCATTCTGTTTTTTGTTGGTAAGAACTGTGCTGCTATAACATCCTCTTACATATCTTCTCTTGTGTATGTACAAGAGTTTCTCTTGAATATATACCTGGGCCTGGAAGTACTGGAGTATGGAACATGTAAATGTTCAATTTTAGGAAAAAATGGCAAGCCTTTCCAAAGTTTTTGCTTTCATCCATAATATATGAAAGAGCCTCTGGATCTACACTTGTTATCATCAGAATTTTAAATATTTGGAATCCAGTGGAGGTAAAATGTTACCCTGTTGTGATCTTAATAAACATTATTTAAAAATAAAAACATTTCTTCATTTCTAGTTTTTTAAGGTATACTATACATTTCAAAATATTTTAGTGGTATGTAGAGTAATACAAAGTAATTAATTGCAAAATGATAGGTCTTACTTTGAGCTGATGGTTTTTTCTAACTTCTCTTTCATGTCACTACAGGCATGGCCAGGACTGTGATATGCGGTCATTATGGCCATTATGTTCCCTGCTGGTATCGCATGTCCCTAGGCAGAGTGCCAGGAAGTGAGATCATGTATTTACTATAAGTTTTCCAATCATTCATTCTTTCATACTCTGGAAGCAGCACCTCATCCCAAGTGATTTTAAAAATACCTAGGAGATTTCCATTGACTTAGGTTTGTAAAATATTTTATTTTATTAAAATATAAGTGCTACATGGGCACATTTATAAACACAAGTCATTTTATTGCAAAGTTATATAGAACTGGCCCAAGTGATTAAGTATTTTAAAATCTACTCAATTCGATTTCTAGATTTTCATGCTCCTTTCTCTAAGATATTAATTTAATTAGTTTAAATGCAAAGTCATGTTTGAGGTGGTTCTCAGACATCTGAAATGAAGGACTAATGAATGTCTTTTAAATTTGGAAACAGCAAGGGTAGGAGAGAAATCGTTTTTCAAAACTCCACAGTCAGCAAAGAAAGGTAAGTGTGATGATGATTCATGGTGTTTACTATTATTGCTTATTAAGATACATGGGATTTCCAAGAGGAAAAGAAGAGAGAGAACAGTGGTAAAAATGAGGTGGGAGCATACACATGTGATTATGAAACCTTCCTTGCCACCTCCCTCATTAAACTGAACAGCGTGAGTTTAAAAGTTTACTATGCATTATTCATGGATGGCAACTTTAATTCTGGTTATAGTTAAAAGCATCATGAATCCTTTAAAGTCTTAGTTAAAACTCTTCATGTATTTCTAATTGCAACATATTTGGTCGCTGTGAGTCAAGATAGTATATTTCCTAAAATGATGCAGAATTGTCTAAGTAATAAGAAAATCCTTCCATAGACAGTGCAGTGTTTCACCTTTCCTTCCTTTACTCATCTTTAATTCCTCCCCATTTCCAATTGTGTTGAAGTGTTTATATGAAAACAGAACATGCATGGGAACTCTGAAGAAACTGACTCACTCATCTTTTAAGTTGCGGTTATTTATTTTTACAGTATATAATATATGTTATAATGTCATAAATATTTTAATTTTTTAAGGATATTGAACTCTAGTGTCTCTTAAAGTGGGCTTTTACAACTTACTGCTACTGATAGTGGCACTTAATCATAGAAAATGGTATTAAAATAGTTCAAGGATAAAATCACACATGGGGTAGTTCTCAAACAATAGGCCACTATTTCATTTATATACATAACCTGTAAACTTGAAGTTATGAACCAATATAATGGTAAAGAAATCTGACAACGTAACAGTTAAGATGGATGGCCATTATTTCACGTTTCGGCCTAGGAATACATCTTTCCTGAATAAACCAATAAGGCTATTCCAGTGAGAAACAAATGGAAGCGAAAAATAAGCATTTGCCTTAGAAGCGCTGACCGAAAAAGCAGTATTCCCCATTTAAGAAACCCAAAAGGAACTCTGAATTCTTTGACTAACATTAGCACGCAAGCATCTCATCTGAGAGAATAAGGAAGCAGAGCCGGGGAAGGGACTGGTGGCTTAATGGCACTGCCCCTGGTGGCGAAGGGAGAGGCTTCCATTTCTCACCAGGCTTTCTCCGCTCCCGTCGCAGGCCCGACCCCGACCACGTTGTTTTGAGGCCAAGCCCACCGCTCCGGACTGAGCACAGTGGGCGGGCGTGGGCTGCCAGCAAGTCCCTGGCCTGCAGGCCTTCCTGTCAATGCCACCGAAGTGTTTCGGGCTCTGAGGTCCTTAGCTTTCCCTAAGGTGGGAAAACGATACATTGTCCAGGGGCAACTTCTTCTTTTTCTTCTGCTCTGAGCAGCCGTTTGACCCTCTGGTGGACTGCGTTCCCCGTGCCCCGGCGCCAGCCGTGTTCCTGACCCCAGAGTCAGTCATTGCCGCACGGGGCCTGGCAGGCTCCGGACCCATTTCCTGTCGCGGCCTAAGGGAAGCTGTTTGCCGCCAGGCCCGGGTGGGGACGGCAGGCGGCTGAGGGGCCGGCGGGCGCGGGGCCGAGCCCGCTGTGGGGGGCGGGGACGGCGCTCCCGGGACAGCTCCGCGCCTTGGGGCGGGACAGACCCAGGCTGGGAGCAGCGGGGCGCGCGGGGCCCCCAAGATGAGGCCGGCGCTCGCCCTGTGCCTCCTCTGGCAGACGTTCTGGCCCCGGCCCGGGGGGGCCGAGCACCCCACGGCCGACCGCGCGGGCTGCTCGGCCTCGGGGACCTGCTACAGCCTGCACCACGCTACCATCAAGCGGCTGGCGGCCGAGGAGGCCTGTACCCTGCGCGGCGGCGCGCTCAGCACGGTGCGCGGGGGCGCCGAGCTCCGCGCGGTACTCGCGCTCCTGCGGGCAGGCCCGGGGCCCGGAGGGGGCTCCAAAGACCTTCTGTTCTGGGTGGCGCTGGAGCGCCGGCCATCCGACTGCACCCTGGAGAACGAGCCGTTGCGGGGTTTCTCCTGGTTGTCCCCCGACGTCAGCGGGTCGGAAAGCGACACGCTGCCGTGGGTGAAGGAGCCCCAACGCTCCTGCACGTCTCGGAGTTGCGCGGGACTCCAGGCCACCGGGGGAGTTGAGCCCAGAGGCTGGAAGGAAATGCGATGCCGCCTGAGAGCCAACGGCTACCTGTGCAAGTACCAGTTTGAGAGCTTGTGCCCCGCGCCCCGCCCCGGGGCCGCCTCTAGCTTGAGCTACCGCGCTCCCTTCCAGCTGTACAGCGCGGCGCTGGACTTCAGTCCCCCCGGCACCAAGGTGAGTGCGCTGTGCCCGGGTCAGCTCCCCGTCACAGCCACGTGCCTCGCGGACGAGGTCGGCGCCCGCTGGGACGGGATACCCTCCGCGGCCGCGCTCTGTCCCTGCGCCGGGAGGTATCTCCGTGCTGGCAAATGTGCAGAGCTCTCTAACTGCCTAGACGAATTCGGAGGCTTTGCCTGCGAGTGTGCTGAGGGCTTCGTGCTGGGGAATGACAGACGCTCTTGTGTAACTAATGGGGAAGGACAGCCTACCCCTGGGGGAACCAAGGTGCCCGTCAGGCACCTGCCGGCCACTGCAGCCAGCCCCTTGCCGAAGAGAACACGGTCACCCAGGGTCCACGAGAAGCCAGGAGAAATACCCCATGTCCCGGCACAAGGCAGTTCAGCAACATCTATTCCCAAGATTCCTCAGTGGGGAGCACAGAGCACAACATCTACACTTCAAATGTCCCCTCAAGCCAAGTCACAGGCCGCCATCACCTCTTCAGCAAGCGTGATCCCCAAGTTTAACTCCACGTCTCCCTCCACCATTCCCCAGGCTTTCGATTCCTCCTCCACCGTGGTCTTCATCCTTGTGAGCATAGCGGTAGTAGTGCTGGTGATCTTGACCATGACAGTACTGGGGCTTTTCAAACTCTGCCTCCACAAGAGCCCTTCCTCCCAGCCAAGAAAGGGGGTTTTGGCCCATCGGGGTGTGGAGGGTGAAGCAGAGGCCCCTGCTTCTCACTCCAGTTCTGCACATTGCACAGACAATGGGATGAAGGTCGGGGACTGTGGTCTGCGGGACAGAGCAGAGGGCACCTCATTGACAGGGTCGTCTCTTGGTTCTAGCGAAACTTAAGGAAACGGGACACTGAGCACTTCTTGTGAGCAGTTTTTCAGTGTAAAGGGAAAAGAAAAGAGGAACTTGTTTGTGGACCTGATGATTCCTACAGAAATCTCCCTTCCCCTAAATTTCCACTGCTCCACTGAGGAGTTAAATCTGAACCGGACACTCATTCCCTGAAAGTGGAAGAGGGTGGAAGTGCCTTAGGGTACATAGGACTGGGGGCCGGGATCCTGCTGGGGAGAAGTATTTTCTTACATTTGTTCTGCGGGGTTGGGACAAGTGGTTGTACTTTTTAAGACACTGGAAACAAATAGAAAACTACAATTAAAAAAAATTTATTTTTTATCTAAATGGAAAGGCAACCTTTCATGTACATTGTTCGGGCTGGGAATATGTTGGTTTGAAATTCAAAGGCAAAAAAACAAAAGGTTGTTGATAACGCAGACTCAAATATCATTGGTTTCCTGGAGGAGCGATTATACAGGGAGAAGAGCTGAGAGGCTGGTGGGAATAGCAACAAGAGCGCATCCTACATTTAGACTGAAGGGTAAATCTTCAAGTCCTTGTAATAAGGAGTAGGTCTTTAAGAACTAGTAACTTTGTCCTTGGTTCTTTCATACTTTGAAAGTCACTGCTACTTGTGTGCTCTGCTATAAATCCAAACTGTATTGATGCCAGAGTTGCTGCCTCCAGAATCAAATTAGAGTTGACCGCCAATTCAAGTGTTAACTGTGTGTCCTTGCTCAAGGAAACAAATGATTTGTGTTTTCCTCTTCCAGTGTTTATGCTCTCCAATGTAACAACCTCCCCAATCAAATAACTCTCTTCTAAACATCAGGATGCTGATCCTCACTTCCAATTATGGCAATGTTAAATTTCAATTAAAACGTTAATGCTAAGTATTGATTTGAAATCTCCTGGGTGCATTAAAGCAAAAGTAAGCTGGATTTCCTCAAAAGTTGCTAGGTTCTTGTGCACTGTTGAATCCAGGGAAAAATTTGAATTCCATGCCATTTCCTAAACCCCGCTAATGAAAATGTGTTCAGGGACCACACATGCCCATCTTGGAATGATTACAATTTAACAAGAGTCTACATGGACAAAGATGTGGCAAACAGCTTTCCATGGGATTTAACAGTACAAGAAATAAGTGGTGAATAAAAATATCTATCATTTGTTGGACTTGGGGTATCAGGAAGTAACCTAGATGAAGAAGAATTCCTCTAAAGACAATTAAGATGTAATAATAATCATCACTATCTAGAAGAATTGAGACCCCCAGAAAAATCACACTTCTATTAGTATACTAAGACTTTAAAACTGTGTAGGGGTTGGTGCATAGAAAGAGGTAGAGAAACAAACTGAGTAACCAGGAAGAATGAAAATGGTAGGTAATTTACCCTGTATTTTCATAGAACCATTTTGATGTTCTTGAGTGTGCAATGTATAATATATATTTTTTGTAATATATATGGTATATTTTTTAACAATAAAGGAATAAATTAAAAGGTAATTTGTTTTATACATTAAATATATATCTAAATTGTTACATTTAAAAAAGATAGCAAATGAGTTAGAATTAACATTTGAAGGAATTTTAATAAAATCATTTCTCAGGTGAAACTAAAATCAGGTAAGTAGATGGCTTACTCAGTGTCTCCAACTTGTCAGAGCGAATTCAGTTCACCTCAATTGTGATGTTTTAGCTTTCCCCTTTCCTACATGATCTCTCAGTAGAAAAGGTATCTATTTAAATAGAATATATGGTATTTTCTTTTATAACTTGAAAGTAGCCTCATCTGTAACTCAACTAAACTGTAAATAATATATATCTAGAATTATATCTGTGTGTGTGTGTATGTGTATGTGTGTCCGTGCTTTGTCTTAGGTAGGGAATCTTTGTATCATTGTTACAATAAAAAAGAGTATGCAATAATATTAACTTACTATGTGACATGCCACTGGTGGCATTACAAATCTTGTGATCCAAATGCCCTATGAGAAGAGTAAATAGGTGTCAGTTCAATTACTCAACTATTATCTCCTATTATTTCCCCTTGTAGGTAGATCAGTAAAGAATTACAGAAAACTATTTGTTTTCATATTTGATTTCCTGACAAGTAGCTTTTGCAGACCAAGCATCATATAATTTCTTTTGATTTGCAGTTATAAAATGTTCCATAAAATTTTGAATCCATGATCATATCAGGCCAACCAAGCATGATCTCTTAAGAACTATCTAAGTTTAGGGTCAATGTTTTTCTTCTGCACTTCTTCTTTATTATCACTTCATTATTTCTTAATCTCTTTGAGGTTCATTCCTTTCTGACTTAAAATGCTCTGCCTCTGCACTCATCTCATAGCTGCCTGTTGGGTCATTTCCTTAAAAGGAACACTTGGAATCTAATTTACAGTCTTTCTCTTCAGCCTAAGTCCTGCCATCATCTTACACAATCACCAAGTCCTCAAGATGACCTCCACTTCATTTCAGTCATTCATCACAGTAGCCACCCACGCCTTAGCCTTTCAGATGATTCTGAAACTGCTCTACATCTGAAATCATAAATTCAAACATCTGTGTGTGCATCTGTGTTGAGACCTATACTTTAACTGATCACAAGTAAACCAGTGTTGTTTGAACTTTAAGATTCCTTCTTTCTTACAATAATAAGCATTGTTGTAACTAGTAGCCTGACATAGTATCATTCTTTCTTTTTTTTAGGGGGGGCGATTTCATACACAAAGATTTTGCAAATGAAGTAAAAATAACTTGTTTTCCTGAATTGTGTAAGGGTATATCACCAGCCTAATTCTCCACAACCCCTAAATACTTTATTGATACTTCCAGGTTATCTAATTTGTTGGCATGCAGTTATTCATAATATTTCCATATAATTCTTTTTCACTTCCATAAGTTTGGTAGTGATGTCCTCTCTTTTATTTCTAATTTTAGTAATTTGAGTATCTCCTCTTTTGGGGATGGAGTAAGTCTAAAGATCTGCCAATTTTATTGATCTTTTCAAAGAACTTACTTTTGGATTCATTGATTTTTTTCCTACTGTATTTTTATTCCCCATTTCCTTTATTTCTCATCTAATCTTTATTACTGTCTTCCTTATCCTTGCTTGGGGTTTACTGTGTTCTTTCTCTAATTTTTTAGGGTAAGAAGTTAGATTATTAATTTGAGATCTTTTTTTAAATGTAGGCACTCATGACCAGTACTTTCCCTTTAAGCACTGCTTTAGGAGCACCCAATAAATTTGGGCATATTGGGTTTTCATTTCATTCATCTCAGTGTTTTATAATTTCCCTTGCAATTTTTTTCTTTAATACATTACAGAAATGTTATTTAGGAGGGGGTTGCTTAATTTTCACATATTTGCAAACTGCCCTAAATTCCTTCTGTTTTTAATTTTTAATTTGATTCTGCTGGGGTTATAGAACATACTTTGTGTGGTATCAACCCTTTTAAATTTATTGAATCTTGTGTATGGTCTATTCCTAATAGCGTATGGTCTATCCTGGAAAATGTTCCACAGGTGCTTGAGAAGAAGCTCCTTATAGCATTTTTTTAAGTCTTCTATTTCAGTTTGATACTTTTCTTAGTTGTTCTACACATTATTGGCGAGGGCTACTGAAGTGTAACTTTCATTTTTGAATTATCTACTTCTATCTTCAGTTCTGCCAGTTTTTAAAAAAAATGTATTTTGGAGCTCTCTTTTTAGGTGCATATATATTTATAATTATTTTATCTTCTAACATGTAGTCTCTGTTACTATAAAATGTCCCTCTTTATCTCTAGTAACATGTTTTTTTGGTTTTAAAGTCTATTTTGCATGATACTGGTACAGCAACTTCAGCTATCTTAGGGTTATTTTTGCTTGATATATCTTTTTACATCCTTTAGCTTTCAATTGTGCCTTTGAATCTACTGTCTGTTGCAGATAATATAAGTTTCAGACTATTTTCTTTAATCCATTCTCCAATCTCTGCCTTCTGAATGGATGTTAAATACATTTGTGATTAATGTAATATTGACAAGATTTGCATCTACCATTTTTATTTGTTTTCTATATGTCTTGGTTTTTCTGTTCCTCTATTCCTCCATTTCTGTTTTCTTTTGCATTAAACAAGTATTTCATAGAGTGCCATTTTAATGCTTTTATTTATTTATTTATTTATTTATTTATTTATTATTTATTTATTTATTACTTTTGTAAAGTTTTTTTCTAAGTGGCTGCCATGGAGATTACAGTTACCAACTTAATTTAAAGACTACAAAATTGGGATTTAAACCAACAAACTTCAACAATGTATAACAATTTTGCTCCAACATAGTTCTATCCTTTTTGGCAGTGCAGTGCAGTCAAATTAAAAATCTACTACCACCCTCCTTCTTTGTGCTGTTACTGTCAATCAAATTACATCTCGACATTGTAAGTCCATCGTCCCAGTTTTATAATTATTGCTTTATTATGCAGTTATCTTTGAAATCAAATAGGGGAATAAAGAAGTTATAAACAAAAAAATACATTTATACTATCTTTTATATTCACCTATGTAATTGCCTTCACCAGTGCTCTTTATATCTTTGTGTGGTTTTGTTACTGGCTAGTGACTTTTATTATCATCCTGAAGTACTCCCTCTAGTATTTCTTATATAGAAATAGTATGTAAGCATGTCTGCTGGTGACAGATTCTCTCAGTTTTTGTTTATTTGAGAATTCCTTAATTCTGCTTAATCAAGGTGTTGGCAGAGCCTTGATCCCTTGAGGTCTCTAAGGAAGAATCTTTCATTGCCTCTTCCTAGCATCTGGTAGTTGATGCACCCTTTGGTGATTTTGGCTTACAGCTGTATCATTCTCTGCCTCTGTGGTTATTGGACTTCTTACCTCTGCGTATGTCTCTTATTTGTCTATGTTCAAATTTTCCTGTTCTTATATGGACACCAGTCATTGGATTTAAAGCCCACCCAATTCAGTATGACCTTGTTTTAACTGAATTACGTTTGCAACAATCCTACTTCCAAATAAGGTCACATTCACAGGTACTGGGAATTAGGACTTAAATATGTGCTTTGGGGGAACACAATTACAAACAGGTAATGATAATTCTCTGTGGACAGGCTTTTTGAAAGTTCCAAACCTATTCTGTCCCTGCCAGTGGCTACTGGTTTTCACAGCTAATCTGCTTGCAGTTCTGCTGATTTTCAAGGCTTCTCCAGGGCTGGGGAGTAAAGAGTGAAGAATAGGAATAGGGCAATTGGGAGAGGTGGGAGCAGTGCCGATGGCTTGCTAGCCTTCTTAAATTACACCAATTAATTTGCTGTCATAGACTTGCCTTAGTGGCAGTTTACTCCACCTGTGATTCTCAAACCTACCCTACCATCAAAATCATCTGGGTGATTATATATGTAAATAATATTTATTTATATTAATTAATTATATTAATATATATTTATTTAAAAACCTAACTCTAGACTTACTAAATCTGTCTTTAAAGGTTGGGCTTTGGAATCTCTCTATAGACATGTTTTAACTTCACCAAGGTGATTTTGATTATAAACAAAGTTTAGGAGTCACTGTATACAATTGCATGTACCTCAAGACAAAAATTGAATATCCTCCTCTCTCTCTTCAGTATCTGGCAGCATTTAGGGCAGAGTGGATGCTTAATCAAAGTGCAGAAATGCAGTTTTATTTTAGAAGGTGTAGAAGGGGTGCCAAATTGTCCTTGTAGCCATGTCCTTTTGATGATTTCTCTATAGCGTTGTTTTTCCACTTCTCTTAACACTTTGGTCAAGCTCATTAAGAACAGGATGAGGAAAACAACAATAAAGTTACGTAAATGGTGGTGGAACAGGGAATGAGAGCATAAGCATCATTTAAAAGCATATTGTAGTGGTTAAGTTCTCTGTGGTGGGAGAAATTTTGAGGTATTAACTTTAATTTTCTCTTTACTACCTGTTTCCCTGGAGGCCCCTCCTCTCCACTAAGTTGATGATATTTATATCCCCAAAAGAGGCTGATTAGTCAAGAACAAAGAGGCAGTTTGTTGGCTTTGAATCCTGAAGAGGTGTTTGATACTCATATCAAAGAAAAAATCTTGAAAGCCAAAACAAAATTTTGGGTCCTGTTTTTTTTTCTTTAGCTGTTTTTTCATACAGTAACATGCAGATACAAAAAGTCACTCAGAAAAAATATGTAATTTAGTGAATTATTATCAGGGGATTACCTTTGGAACCAACAGCCCCTGGGTGCTGCCTTAGTGGGATCGAGAATAGACCTCTGCCAACCGTCCCAGGAGCCTTTTCCTGCTCCCATCCCCATCACAGCCACTTCTCAATCCCAAAGTAGCCTCAATCTTGATATTTGTAGAAATCATTCTCTTGTATTTGTATAATTAAAGTGTGCATTTTAATTTTACAGAATTTATACTTTTATTGTATATTTTTAATT